TTCTACTGATGTACTGCCTCCTAGTGGGAAGAATGAAAACTCGTTTGCATGTGAAACATACTTATTGTAAAATGTTTAAACTGTACATTAATGTGATGAATAACATAATCTACTAATCTGATCTGGTATTACAGTATAACTATAAGTTCAACTTCCCCAAAAAGACCAACAAACTGGTTATAGACCAATCTCATATGTGCAACAGTGCAACCATGATTATTCTAGTAAATAATTTTCTAAACTTTGAAGAAGGTAATTATTTGAAATTCTCATATTTATTTATTGTATTTGAGTGTTTCAAATATTTATGTAATACTGTGTATTATGTAGGATTAAGTATTATGTATAATTTCTTATGTATAATTTATGGACATAAACAAAATATAGAAATTCATAACACGTGTCTACACACATTTTCATTCATACCATGGCCATGCGCCATGGCGTACATGAGTACAACTTTCGTTAAAATATGTACACACACCCATCTACAGTGACTAGGAGTGTGCTATTCATTGATGTTTACCTTTCCTTTATCATCTCATATGTTTTTAAGAAAACCAGTTAGAGCCTTTTTTCCCGGACAGTGTCATCCTTGGACGTTAGACATTTATCGAAATGCATGTTCATTTAATGTTTCTTTAAGCATGTAAGATTTTGAAATTTAGATAATCTCTGTAATGATATCTATCTTAAGCTGGTCTGGTAGCTGTTTATTAGATGTCATCATCAAGACCAACCTGAAGGACTGCAGCCTTTTCTAAAGGCAGCCAGACGATCCACCTGCCAAGTGACTTATTCAACCCGGAGTCCGCGTGGTGGATGGACCCTGATGAGAATGTCACTTTTAACCTTATTAACTTATGTTCATCTCTTAAAGTTTGAAAGGTGGTGTGTAGAGAAAACCTCTCCTGTAAAATATTTGTACAACATTTAAAGAAGTTTTACTTATTCTTACTTATTTATATAAAGAAGGGGAGACCTTTGCCAGTCCAGGACCCATTAATGAACATTTGTTTATTGTTATTGACTTGCTGCATTATAATTGCTGTATTTTATTTTATTTTTTCATGTAAGTTAGATTGTTTTTCATTTAACTCTTTATTAAGTCACCTGGGATATAACACCCTGGCCTTTTTAGCTTGTCTTTGTTATTTTCATCACCCGCATATATACATTTACCACAGACCAGCTCACTCTGATGCTGAAAACGGTGAGAGCTTTTTGTGCGTCTGTATTTTCTTTGAGTTTGAACTGTAGTCAGATGTCTGGTTAAGTGACTGTGTGAGTGACTGTGAGCACAAAAAATAAACAAACCTGTTAATTTTTATGTTTGAAATTGTGCAAGATCAGAGAATTTCATTTAATAGTGGACAAGTGTAGTTATGAATCTCATAAATTGAGTCTTATAAATTATCCAGATGGCTCTCTTCTGCTAGTAATGTTTTCGGGTTTTTATTAGTATTTGTTAAATGTATTAAAAATATATTTTTATCAGCTCCAAAAAAGAAATACAAATAGAATACACAACAAACAACCAGAGGTTTTCCTCTGTTTTGTCTTGAATGATAAAGTATTCATTTATTTTTGGTGCACTGCTTAAATGTATCAAAAGCAATGTTGCAAACAGAAAATAAACACCAAACCCTCTCAGCATAATAGAGAAAAAAACATAATAGTAGGAAATTTACTGGCAACAGTTTTAAAACAGATTAGAGGTTGTGTGTCCTTGTTGTTAGAACAAGGAAACTACAATATTAAATTATTGTTAAGGCAACAGGGGGAAAATTCACATTATTGGAAACTTAAAAAAAATAACCACCAAGCAGGAAGGAACTAATTCAATTTTCACAAGAACAAAACAACAAAAAAATCCGACGTGTCAAAAAAAAACAAAAAACAATAATAACTTCCTCATACTTTAACACCTCAGAGAAATGCAGACAGGATGTACCTGAAAGTAACAGCAAAGTTTCTCTATATATTACTTAGAGCATATCATGCTGTAACATGTCTCAGAGAAGGTAATTAGGTTTAACTTATCCATGACACATATGTTATGCTGAAACCATTCCATTAAATGTTATTACAGTAGTTATTAGCTTGGCTGTGGCCAGTGTTCTGTGACATACTCCTATCCTTTAATAAGTAGGGCTGCAGTGAGGCAGCTCTGATCCATCCAGGTCACAGTCAGAAATCAGGCCCTTACTGCTTTATTTGAGTGTGAAAGGGGGGAGTGATAAGAGAACCTGATAAGATGGTACATAGTATCTGCTGAGAGAATACAATAGCTCCACTGAGCAGGATCTCTGATACAAAATCCCTGCAGTCGTCCTGCCCGTGCTCAGGCTATCTTTGATCACTTCCTTGTTCTTCCTCCTGCAAGAATCTGATTGGATTAATGTACTCCCTTTTAAATGATATAATAGCTTTGTGCAGCTCATTCAAATCTACTACGATTTTCTGATGAGGTAAGATAGAGACTCTTGTGGGAAACTTTTAAATGTTTTAAATTCAACACACTGCTTTCATAGTCTAGTAAAATGCATAAGTAGGGTCAATGGATGTACACTAGGGTAATAAATTATGATTTCAATTCAGTTTAATACAACAAAATAGCATATAACCACAATGAAATACACAGATTTCCATTTAATGATCATGCAATGTTATCTTTTTTCCTCATATATATTATAACCGGTTTGAGTGGATGTTTGCATGCGTGACCTCAGTGCCTTCTGCAGATGCCCTGACACCAAGCTATAGCTGACTCAATACATGTTCTGCTGGTTTAACGGTGCCTTTCTGATTTTATATCAACACAATTTCCTCTCTCAGTTTCAGTTGGTTCCTAAGAAACCTTTAAATCTTAAACATTTGATTGAGATTCATACATATACAGCATGAGGTATGATAAAGCTTAATTCCAATCGGATGCCATAGGGCTTTAAACATGCTCACAGAATCAGGATATGTAAAGCAAGGGCTCATGTTCAGCAGACAGTGGTCTGTTAGGAAAATGAAGCTCTTGTCTGTAGAGGTTAGGTCAGTCGATTTTATTTGCCTATAACTGCCCATTTATCTTCAGTTAGTCACATAAAATACTCCCCCGCATAACAGCTCCCAGCTGCACTCAGATTGCTGCAAACTGAAACTAAGACCAGATTTTTAAACTTCAAGTCTTTACATGGCCTAAAAAACGTTAGTTACCCGTTTCATTTCTTTGCACTTTAGTATGCAGGTAATCATGCGGAGCACTAACTGAACATATATGGTTTATGAGAAACAAACATTTCATAAAAAATTTCAGGCAAATTACAAATGGTACAGGCAGCACTTAATGTACATTTTGTTGATAGGAGCTGAAACTTGGTTTGACAAATACCATTCAACAGCTTTCAGCTTCTGCTGATCCTTATGTACAATATAGAAACAAACAAAACACTTATGTAACTTAAGCATTTAAAAATAATCCTGTTTTACAATCATAATTTATCTTAAAATTGTACTAAGGCACTCATCATCAAAATAAGAAAGATTAAAATGCCAATTAAGAAAAGGGTACATGTGTTTTGATCTTTATTTTTATATTTATTTTTTGCTCTTATTTATTGCTCACTATGGTGCTAGTTTTATCTTATTTTTATTACAGCACACATCGAAGACAATTTCTCATATTGTAAAGTATTATCAAATCTAATCTCTTATAGAATTAATCCCCTTGTTACCACAACATAGCTTTCTTAAACATGCAAACAGGTGCAAAGGAATTTTTTTTTCTCCACGAGCATCACATGCTATTTCCAAGTCCATCTGTTTCTCTTGAGGAATGCTAGGGAAAATATTTTTATGTTCTACCAACACAAGACTAGAAGTGTGACATTTTCTAATCTCTAATGTGACTTTAACTAGAATCACATGTTTTTGTAAGATGAAATAAAAACGTAACTTTTCAATTTTTTACACTTAGTGGGTTTGGAAAATAAAATAAAAACACGGGTCCTTAGTGTGACTGCCAGAGGGATGATGATTGAAAAAATACAACTAAATTTTTCTTTTTCATGTATTGTTCAACTGTGAACATGTCAGAGATGATTACGTTCAGCCTCCTTGCCAACAAGAGCTATATATATATATATATATATATATATATATATATATATATATATATATATACACATACCCGGGTCCCCAGGGACCACCATCCTGCATGCTTTAGATTACAGCAAAAATAATGCATGGCCTCCACTGCATGCACAAGGTATAGAAGCCTGTTAATCACCAATTCATTTATTCAGTTGTGTTGCATCAAGGACACATTCAGGACAGGGCTGGGCTATGGAGCAGGGTTAGGAACTACTCTACTTAACTAAGGTAGGACTATACTCTGTGGCAAAGACAGATTAAATAATTTTATAGGCTATTTATGGGTCTAATTGGGGCTCATTTCTAATTTTCTTACTGTTTAAAATAAAATCTTAGAGTGCAGCATGAAAGAAGAAATAACAAGCTGTTATAACTCTGTATAACAACACAGAATTGGAGCAATAGGAATGCGATGGATATGGACTATAATTTGAACAATGGCCTGCCTCATGTATATCAACAATGTGACAATCAGCAGCCCTGATTTGACAATGTAATCCTGAGCATGCTCAGCCTTATTTACACTTCTAGGATACAATTTGTTTTAATGTACTTGTGAATTAAATAAAATCAAAACTGATTTCTTAAATAACGACTGCTTTCCCCTGCAGGGTTAACTAATCTGACCGCCTTTCAGATATTGCATCTGGTTTTATCAAAGAAGAAATATGTTTTGCCATTAATAATTATATTGCATGTTCCTTCGACTGGCAATATTATAACAGGAATTTGTGAAATATTGAACTAAAGAGTGAAAACTAAAGAAACCGGTGAACAAGAACAACTTTGAAGACAAAGGCGAAGATAATGACTCCGTGTAGTGTCAGTAAATGTCACACTATGTAAAGAAGGGTCCCAAATGCCAGATAAGTCAGGGAAAAGATTAGACATGAATTTGCTTGCGAACACAGGCCAAAGAAAGAAGCCTTTTATTGACAGTGCTTTTATCTGGAGGCCAATCAAGGACCAGCCATTTGTCAGCTGTCTGCTGGAACCAGCTTGGGCACGCAGAGGCAAACAATTTACCACGTGGCATTTCACAGTGTCAAGATTAAACAAAGGGATCCTTCGTTATCATTGAGCACAGCGCATTTCATACACGAGCTTGTAACAGATCCAGAAGGAAAAAGATGGTAAACTGCTGTTATTAACCACAGTCAGATGCACATTAGTCAAGTTTTCTCAAAAATTGCTACAATTTGCATCATACCTTTTGGTTAATATAATCATGTCTTTGACTACAAATTTTGTCTGACATTTAACAGCACATCAAACTCCTTAAAAACACACATGGAAGAAATAAAAACGGTTACAAACTTTATTGTATGAAACTTCAACAAACACATTCAATTCTTTTACAACTAAATAAAAGCAAAGCATTTAATGAGGAAATACAAGCTTTACATGTTGTGTAAATATTAACATTTTACCTTTAATATCTTCACTGCACTGTGCTTATGGGATTTTCTAAGGCACGGTTACATTTAGTTTTATCTTTATTAAATGATCTAGCATGCTCCCCAAAGGACACTTCACAGTATCAGTGTCAAAACATGTAACGTATGCCTGTGTATGCTTTGACAGCTATGTCAACATGTGTTTCTTTGGGACTTGCGTTTTCATTATTGTTTTCATTAAGAAAAAAAAAAGCTTCACTCTGTTTATTGCTACCGTTTCTAGTGCTTTTTGTTTAGCTTTTTTAATTTCATTTCATGTAAACACCTTTTCGTAAAGGATCTCAGTGCAGTATCAACTCAATGAGGAAGGCAATAAGATAAAGCAAATAAAAGTAGGAAACACTTGTAAACAGCTTCAACAAACATATTTAAAAAGGCAAATAAAAAAAAAAAACGTTAAAATGTGACAATTTTGCATAAAAAACATATTTGATAATGACATTATCACTTCTCTGCCTCCCTCCAGCCTCTGGCATTCCTTCCGAACTTGTAAACCAGTCTGCGCCCATCTACTCGCTCTAGGATTTCTCTCTTGTAATAATATCTGTAACAGAGACAGTAAAAAAAAAAAAAAAAAATTCAGATATAAAAAAATGTCTACATTTTTATTTTTTCTCATGTATTTTAAAAACATGTCCATCTTTTACATCTAAACTGCCGGTTCAATTCTCTTGCTCTCACAACAATATGCTTTTTTTTTATAGCAAGTCCTTCCTGTTACACTGACGTAAACATTTCAACTGCTTTTTATTTTCGCTGTTAAATTATAAGATCTCTGATGTTGTCAAAAAAAAAATAAATTACTGTGTGGTAAATTCTGTGTGCAGGGGAGAAATGTATGAAAAACAATTATTTTCCATCCATTTGAAGCTGACGTCACCTAAAAGTTTCAGTGATTAAATGTCAAGACAGAGGAAAGGATGCAGTGTTTGTGAAATGTTGATTCAACATTATGCATCTGTTACACAACCAGGTTTGATCTAATAGTTGTACAATTGGACCGTCATTTGACAACATTCTTGCTGTTTGCCAGTGAAACACGTCATTAGAAAAAACAATGGTGCTAAAACGAGCTAATTTTCCCATAAATGCAAAAGCAAAAGAAGTGAAAGAAGACAAGACAACTATGTTGCTATTTCCATCTTTCCAGTAAGCCTGTTAATTATCTTAGTTCACTTCCTCATTTCCCAATCGTATTTATTTTTCCTTTTCAAAACAGTAACATCTGATTACAGAAATGTAAGACGGTCGGTCAGTTTGTCAATATTTTTTTAAATAAAGAAGTCCAAGGTGCGAAATTAGAGTTTAACAGTTATTTTGTTATTATACATTTAAATAGATAAAAAAAATTGAATAAAAAGTTTGGTGGCTGGCTAGTTCAAGTGGGAAACTAAAGTGGTAAGTCACCCGTCCTGCAAACAGGAAGCCTGGGTTAGTATCCCAGCTGGGACTTATGAGCTGCCAGTGTGGGTCCTTAGGCAAAACTTTTCACACTATGTCTGCTTAGGGCAGTGGCAGCCTGCTTGGAATCTTGAGGTTCTGAGTTCAAGCCCCACTCCCACGGACTGCCACTTTGGGTCCCTAAGCAAGACCCTTATCCCCCACACTGCTCCCCAGACGCCCCACCACAGCAACCCACTGCTCCACAAGGGGATGGGTTAAATGCAGATAGTTCATTTCGTTGGTCTGTACTTGAGACAATGGAATGACAATAAAAAGCTGAAAAAAAAAATGTTTCCACATAATTACTCAGATAATAGATTGAGGAAATAATTAGAAACTACTGCAGTTGTCTCTGAGTATGATACAATAAATTCCATTTTTACTCATTTCATACTTACCTGTGATCTGTGATTTTATCTAATGAATTTACATGAAATAAATATTTTTGGCAATTTTGGGCTCTGATTATTATGTTTTTTTTTTGTTTGGGACTCTAAAGATACAAACTGCAAATTACCCAACAACACCAAAATCAATTCAAAAACCAGCCAATATTTCCTTCAATGAAATATATAATAATAATAATAATAATAATAATAATAATAATAATAATAATAATAATAATAATAATAATAATAATAATAATAATAATAATAATAATCTCTCTCTTAAGGCCTGGACCATTTTTTACATATTATAGTTGTTATTGAACTTTCTGACAAATGGAAACAAAAAAACATTTTTCTATTAGATTAGATAGTTTTTTATTAGATTAGATACTTTAATTGCATTATTTGTGATATCTTAGGCATTTCTGTATAATCTTTTATGGGTTTTTTTTTCACTGCATCTGTCTGATTTTGTAATACAAGGTTTTCAAGAACAAAAAAATTACACTGATGATGCACAGGTCTCAAAAACGAATGTATCAATTATGATACACTTCGCTTTAAAGGGTAAGTTTTTAAGTTCTTGGTTTGTATAATATGATAAAAATACTTCAATTAGATTTGTTTGTCCTTTGAGCAATACAAGTATATAAAATGGACAACCTAGTCATTATCAAATACTCTCTGCAGTGATGGGAACAACCAGACAAACCAAAACAAAAACTGTAATCCATTGGTTGTTTAAAAAAAATCATATGAAAATTTATTGATTCTCTCTGCAGTCTTTCCCACAGTCTTGTCTTAGTGTGTTTATGATATGCAAACATGAGGTTTTATATTTGTGTTGCAACATTCATAAACATGTGTGGCTTTACCTCATTGCACGACTTAGTTTCTCATAGGTCATGCTACTGTTGTTCTTCTTCTTTCCCCACAACTGAGCCACAGCCTCAGACTTCAGGAAACGAAATACCCCCTCCGTCCGATCTTCCCATTTGATCAAACCAGGGTTTCGCTCTGGGTTCAGAAGAATGTCCCTTATGAATTCCCACAAGTGGGTCCCTCTCGGGTCATTTGGGACAGAAACAAGAGGCAGTAAAGCAACTGATCTACATGCAGTAAATGAAACTGTAATCTTATAATTTTATAACTTACTGTGTTTTTTGACCTGATGACTTCGACTAAAAGACCGTTTAATGTCTGAAAGAAGGGATTTAAACATGGTGAGCTGCTGTTATTCATCAGTTAGCTCCTATGTTACAAAAACCATGTTTTTTCTTACCAGGACTAGAAGGCGTGGGAGATATATTGGGAGCAAGAGATGGAACTGTATGATCATAGATCTCTGTTAAAAGAAAGAAGAGAAAAAACACACTAAAATTTTCAGTCTGGCAACTCTTTGGATTACAGGTATTTCTGGAGGGCAATCATAATCAGAAAAGACATATTTGCTTTACCTCCGGGTGTATAGCTGACATCTGGAAATGGACATAAATCTGATGGAAAATGGTTAAATGTGAGAGGATAGAGCATTATTGGGAATCAGCTAAATAGCCTTGAGCAAATCTTTCCACATTCCCTGAATGCTGTTTTTCCAACTTACTTTCATGTTTGAGCTCCAACTGTCCAATATCGACATGGTACTGGCCTGGACAAGGCAACAGGAAATACATGTTAGAGCAAACATAAAGTGTTCTGCAATACTTAGAGATTAACCCCATTTTTGACTGGACATCTACCAATATCATTTAATGCAGTTTTTGAGAAGTTATGGTTTCTGTGTCAGACTTTAAGGAAATCCCATAAAAAAGGCTGAGGAATCAAGCATGAATAAGTACCCAATTTGAGCCATCTGTGATATTTCGGTCTAACTGCTGTTTATCTTTTACAGCCTATACTGCTTATTCCACATCATTTACTAAGGCTCGAATGCTTTACTACAGTGGTACAGAATAGAAACCTTTAAAGGTGGAATTTGATTAAAAACATTAAGTTAAGATATAAAAAACAGCAACAGAAATAAAAACCGATGCAACCAAATCTCTTGTGAGATATCACCACAAAACTTGAGGCTTGATTTTAGTTGCTCTTTAGATGCTCTTATATTGGTTTATGTATTTTGACAAAATATGAAATCAAACTAAGAAACAGCCTACTTATTTAAGATGAGTTTTACTCTGTTTGCAAGCTTTAAAAAAAATCCTGAACCTAGACTCTGCTGAGTGAACTGAAGCTATCAAAAAGTGCCCCAAGCGGTACGCAAGGTACCCTGAGATTACATGCAGCTACACCAGAAAAACGCATTTCCAGGAAAAAGTGGGTGAAATGAGTTAAATTTTCAGAGTTTATTCACTGAGCCTAAACATTTTTGCTCTGATAGATGGATGGATGGATTTCTGCGTGACAAAACTTCTGAACCTAATTGCATTTTTGTTGGAGCAGTCTGTTTTGAACTCGGTATACCCCAATCCATATTTTGAGCAATGCATACCCATCCATGCTATAAGGTACATTGTTTATAAGTACAAAATTGACAACCAGTGTATGAATAATTTAAAATGTAGAAGAATTTAGCTGCGTTTTTCAGTCAGTAAAAACAATAGCAGGGCTTAAGTTTCATTTTACTTTCTTTGTAAACTGGAGGTTAAACCTGTTGTACCAGGTATCCTGGTGCTGCTTGCATTAGGAGTAGTTTTATCTTGAGATGGCAGATTAAATATGATCTGTTTTTCTCTTTTGTTTCATAACAGACATAAACATTAATTATTGAAAAAGCTTTGTTTGGTAGAAGTTACACATGACAGAAGTTAAAGGCTAAATGGCGATTCCTTGAATCTGCAAATGTCATGTTTCTTTGTAAACTCTAATTAAAATCAATAAATGATTCATTTTCTGCTCTTGTTTTCATTTACAGATCGTGATTTGTCAGACAAGCGACTCCAGAAAGAGAAAACAACAAATCTATCATCTCTCTTTGTTTTAAGTAGTCCAGTATCACGCAGCGCAACCCCTGACCGACTTCTTGATCCCTTCTCAGCTTCACTCATCGACACACTGTCCCACACACAGCTCTGATTACACAGCCTCTCTTTTATTGGTAGTAATGATCTTCTTTTTTGCCCAATCGATCCTCTCTCTATCTCATACCCACCACCTGATTTGAGCTCTGTGATGCTGTTGTAAAGAATGTGTCCCACGCTGCCAGCAGCACGGATGAAGTCATGGTAGTTCAGGCTGCAAAGCTGATGGCCGTCCATGTCAAAGTTTTGGAAGGGAATACTGGAGGCATCAATCTGGTGGATATCCATGATCTGCTGCAGCCACTCCCACACCTGGTACTTGCTCCAGAACTGAGGCTGGGAGTCGTGGGGCCACAGGCGACTTGTGTAACCAGACATCACCAGTGGACCTGGACATAGACATCAGTAATTATACAACAACAACAAAAAAACAACCATTAATGTTATTTACAGTTTTATAGAATCATTAAGTAGGAAAATATATTCAACTGTTATGTCAATAATAAATCTAAAATGCAATTAAATAAAAGAGTTCTTCAGGCATTTCTCAGTGAGGTATCTTTGATTCTTTTCCTTGAGTTTTTTCACAACGGCTTGCCCACCAGGTAGGTAATATATCATTGCTGAATGATTTTCATTCAGTATACTAACAGCAGAGGGATAGATTGTATTAGAGAGCATTTAAAACTTCAGTCGGAATATTTTACTAGATTTTCTTCACAATTTGATCAAACAATTGCTGTACCCAATGCCTGGAAAGATTAATATTGATTTCATTTTTACTGACAGGGCAGGTAATTGTCCTTACCGTCATGATAAGGGTTAGTAGGTACCCAGTTGGAGGTCAGAGGGCTTTCCAGGGTAGATGACGGAGTTATGCTCATATTGCAAAATCTAATCTCTGTTGTAGCATGGCCCAGGATCTAGAGTAAAACAGGAGATTAATATAACTAACAGTTAAAGAATAAAGTTCATAATATTAAAGTCACTTTTGGGTTATGTCTCCACAGCTTAGAAAAGAGGTATTGTTGCGCAGGTTGTCTTGCAGTTTCAGTAGAAAATTTGCCACAGAAAAGGAGGAAAACAGGATTAACAAGACGGAGGTACAGCCATTTTAAAAGCAAATGAATGCACAGATCATCCGCTGCATGTTAACTGCGAATGTTGCTGCGATCATTTATAAACACAATGTCTAAATGTCTGCTTGGGATTTTTATATTTGTGTGGTGTAAAAGAAGGTCTATTTGTGGTAGTTCTAAATCATAAACAGCACCGTGCCACCAAAAATTGCACACATGGAAAAAGCTCTTCTTCAAAGTATTATTTCAAATTTGCTCATTGCTATTTATGATGGGAATCACCGAGGTTAATTAAGCACTATGCCCTATTTCTTTACATAAAGCTGCATAATCAAGTTGGTACATTACATACAAATGAATATTTTTCAAGAGCACCAAAAGCTGTGGCATAAAGCATCCTGTGTCTGGATGTGCTGTACAATTTGTATGCACTGTGTAAGCAAATTTATCTGTTGGGTTTTACTTCTTGAAGGAAGTTCATTTGTTTATGCACAGCATAAAAACAGTTCAATTTGGAACCATTATTAGGAATGCCTCCCCTTTGCACAGCTCGATTTCAGTCAAAGTGCTCCAATTAACATTTCCATAACAACTGTTTTCTTTTTTTATTGGAATGGATTTTATCAACTGAGCAAACATTCCTTCTTAACAGTTACAATGTTTTTCAAGATTTTGTTTTCGTAAGTTTTTTTTTTTTTTTTTTTTTTTATGAAACAAGCAAATAAAAGCATGTTTAAGACTTAACTCTGAACATATTTGCATGTGATGCAAATATACTTGTATCAGAATTTCACCACCTCCACTGTTTTGGTGGCAGAAGTTGTGGATGTGCACAATGGCTGACTTGTAGCTTACATGGATCACTGTTAATATTGAATTTTAACCGTGGGTTGCTGTTACAAGTCTAACAAGCGCTGCATTCTTGAGATATGAAGCACACAGTTACTCATTACCTATTTTAATAATGGCACTGTTAACGTGAACAGGTGCTTCACAATCTGCTGTCTGTGTTTGTAGTTGTGTACCCACAGGACATTTTCCAGCACTTATAAAAATAATATAATTAGTAGTGTAAAGACTTTGAAATTTGACAGTCACCTACTTTGTAAATTCATGTTGGTCCCTGACCTATTTTAAGCAACTGCACCATAAAATATAAGTCCTACTATATTGTTATACTTTTATTGTAGGTGTAAAACAAAATTACACCAAGCCTCATTATTCTCCATGATCTCAAAGGCAGTAAATGAGGAATAAACCATATCATTCACTCACAAATTTTAAAATATATATATATATATATATATAAACCTTTAGTGTTATGACTCAGGTTACTGTAACCTGAGTCATAGAAGTAGATTACAAATGTTCCAGGATTGTACGTTAGAGAGTATTTAGCCTTCTCTGAAAAATTGCAAAACAAAGATGGTTTGCATTCATTTTCACATTCCTCTAATGTAGGCAGAGAAGCTTGCAGAGTTTCCAGGCCTCTTTTTAGCGTCCCCCACATGGTTTATCAGGTATCATAGAATCCCCAATTTATTCATTCTTAGTAGTTATAGTAAGCTTAATTAAGTTGCAGGAGTGTAAACACAAGTCACACACAGAAAAACACACCTCATGAGGAATTTAAAATAACTTGTAGTTATCTTGATAAAGACTAAGTTTGACACATACCAGAGTAGAACAATGAGGCCCTACTGGACCAAGCTGAGAGAAGTCCCACGTAGGTTCTCTGCTGGTCAAGGTGGATAGATCAATACAGCTTCTGGTGATTCTAGCTCTGTGGTGTTGTTGCGCTGAGAGCTGGATGAAGTTGGTCGTCCTGTTTCTCAGCGCTTTGAATCAACAGATGCAGAGTCTCTACAGGTGTTATCCCACCACTATGGGAATTTTTATTAAAGTTAACTTCCTTGTACTGCTTTGATTGGCTCCCTACAAGTTCATACAAGGTTGTTATTTGCATAATATCCACCCACCCCCATGCACACACACACACACACACACACACACACACACAAGATAACTTGTACATTCCTCACTTGCACGTTTCTTCTCACACTCTTTACCAAACAGGGTGAAGAGGTAAGTTCGCTTGAGTTCATTTTCACTCAAGCAAATTAATTCACTCTTACAAGACAATTTATAAACACTAACACACATACAGACAATGTTTTTTTCCAAGGATTTTTATGGGTTAAGATAACTGTTAATAAAAATGTATGCATAATTATCTGAATTTTTAAATGTCAGTCATGGAATACAGGTTTATTTACTCTTTGTAGTTGTGCAGGTCCAGCAGATTTCGAAACAGCTTCTTCCCCACCATCAGACAGCTGAACTGTTGAAAAACTCTAAATCATGTGCACCAAACTGACATCACCAAACCAAAACACTGCAAAGTTGCACCATATATATTTAATTTTCTCCCACACTGTTTACATTTGATCACCGCTGCACCTTAAGAAATGGAAATGTCATGAGAGAGAAAAGTTCAAATCAGAAATTTACAAACACAAATCTACAGACCCAGATGAAGCTGTTAATCAACTGAACATTATATATTTGCTGTAATGTTTTCAATACCTGCGCAGTATGGTGTGCAATCGACAGCACCCTTCTCATCTTATCATCATCTCAATCTTGTCATTTAGGTGAGGGAAGAACAACTTTCAGCAACACAATCTAGGATTATTCTCATAGATTGAGGATTCATACTTGTATTTTTGTAAAGTTGTTACTTTGTAACCTGTATCCATAACATTGAAACTTTTATTTTCACAGATGTAACATTTGATGTGACGTGTACTTATGATACAACTCTTAAAGCTATTCAAATTATTGATCTATATTTAAAAATTCAGAAGCCATTCATTTTATTTTGATTTACCTTACTCTATAGACTTTGCATTGACTTCCCTTTATTTCTATGCCCCCAACCTGACATTCAGCCTAACCCTATCTATTGCCATAACATACCATTTGTCGTAAAATCAACCTCCTACCAAGGAAGGGAACTTTCACTTATTGCCAAAAGCGGACTGCTCCCCACAAGGACTTGTAAGAGCCTAGAGTGTATGCATTTTGTTGGAAGTTAGCCTTACAGTTTCCCTACAAGAACAGGGTAACATTTATGATCAACAAACACACCCACACACATCCAAATTTGTTGTGTTTCCCCACAAAAAATTGATGATTTACTTATTTAGGCTGCTTACATGGTTGCTGAAGTAAAGTTAAACAAGAAAAAAACATTATCTTGTATACTTTGCCATAATATCTGATTTTCTTATAGCCTGATGAAGCTGACAGGCTGATTTGGCTAATTGAAAATATTCATTTAAACATGGGACAATAGATTATAAAAAACTGTGTATCTTTGTATAGTTGTGTACTAAACACACAATCAATTATGATTAAAAAAAATAGCAATTATATCAAAATTAGTGTAAAAATAGGCCTGATACTTGCAACAATAAAAAAAAAAAACATTATTAGGAACAGGAATATTAACGGACAATGTCAAAATTACAATTATGATTTATGTTTTTTATCACCATTATCATCATTAAATAAACAAAAACAAAACCATAATAATGGATAAACATCACTACCCCTCATGAAGACGTACAGGATAGATTTGGACAGTAGTACGGTTCATCTCAACAGTTCAACTCCACATGCAGACACATAGGAACTCTTCCTTTTAGTTTTAACTAACTGCATTTTGATGTTTGTGTTTTGTCATGAAGTATGACTCCAATTTCTCTGGCTAAAAAGATTTTGGATTTTAAATGGCAGTAAAACTTTGTTAGCATAAACATAATCAGTGCTGCGAGATAAAGAACCAAATTCTGAAGTTTCAGTCAACTAAAATGCAAAAACAAAGAATTTGTATTGTCCTGATTACATTGGAGGACAAGAGAGTTAATTTCTTATTTCTTTTGAAAGTAGCTTAAATTACATTGTAGAAAACATTAGAAGTTGAGGTTTTGAATTATCAGTAATAATAATTGTTCACATTAACAAACACCACACAGTTTCTGATGGACTTGTTGCAAATACAGTTCATGTTATTAGCATCTTCCAGCTGTGATTACGACTTTATATAAGTTTTATTCAGGTTGACTTAGAGCAAAGGACCCCTAAACTAACTCCAAACACAATTCAATTCAGTTTATTTATATAGCGCCAATTCAGGATACATTTCATCTCAAGGTCATTTACAGAGACAAATGAAGCAGATCATACAGTCTTTCTAGAAAATGCTACTTTTTGCATCTTTTGAATGATCACAGCACACCCCTACAGAGATGTGGTGTTGCACTCCACAGTGATTTGAGGATTAATTAACTCTCTCATGTCTGCTTCTTTCTATTTTTCGTGACACTCTTGTGGGGTTCACATCAGAGAGGAAACTATCATGGCTGCCCTTGCCCAAGGACCAGAACTCCAGACTGACCAAAGATAAGTGGACCTGATGGCTGACATCAGATTCAAATTGCTGCAAAATAGACAGTTTGAACTATTTTTTCTTTGAGTTTCAGGACTTGCAGATGCTTGGAACAGGCTGGGGGTTTGAAACCCCTGATGGGTGCCCATAGAACAAAGAAACCTCTGATGTGGAGCCTCCCCCTAAATTCTGAAGGAAAACTCAAGCCTTCCAAACTGAGATACAGAGGATGCAGGTCTGGCACACAAGTCAGAGAGTTTATAGTTAAATGATTTGTTTCTTTGATGATTACTGAACATTTTATTTGTTTTCTGTTAGGTAAAAATATTCTAACAGGTTGAAATACATACCATGCTGATAAGTTTTGAGCTGTTGTTTAAAAAGAAAAATAATGACCAAAAGGTTTAAACACTAATATAAGGTTAATATCCATGTGTTTTCTCATTTGCTCATTAGACTTTGATGACCAAATTATGATTAAAAGTCATTTCCTGGGACTCCTCATCTTTGCTAACTGATAGCTCAATCAATGATGGTTAAGAATCAATCAACTGAAGGTTATTGATTTCTGACTAAGCAAATCGTTTCAAATAATGCGTTATGTAGCTCTTGGATTTGCATAATGGATTGGTGTAAACAAATTCCCATTGATCTAAATGAATCAAAAGATAAAATACAAAAACTTTGCTAAACTGTGATATTGTTACAGTACATATTTTTCAACAATGTTTTTCCTTTTTCTTTGTGTACATAGTAGCGTAGTGTAATTGAATTTCCCCAATATAGTCAAGAGTCTTTATCAGAAATATATTTGACTTGAAGCTGAAGGATATTTGTTAATAAACTCTTACATTTTGAATGGACATTGTGTTGAATTTATTCCACAAATGTGAAGAGTTATCTATTTGACCATGTTTTGAGTTAGAGTTACAGTTTCATTTGTTGTTCAAACACATAGCCAGTAAGGCATGTGTTCACAAACAATATATGGCAATCTGAATAGTAACTAATTAAATAACATAATTAGCACCCTTACTGGGGTAGGTAATACGGATGTTGAAGTTGCAAAAAACCCATTGACTGAGCAAACAATATGCTTTCTCAAAAAAGAAAGCTTTAAGTAGAGTGTCTGCCTCATAGACTAAAACTGGCAGTTAGTTCCAATGTAGAGGATCCAGAAAGACCTGCTTCTGATTCTACTTTTAGGAATTCTAGGAAACCACTAGGCAACCTGCAGAGATAAGAGCGTTCTCTTAGAAGCGTAAGGAATAATAAGACCTCTAATATAACAGAGTTTTTTCTCGGGCTTTATAAATTATTATATTGTTTTAACAGGATGTCAATCAAAGGAATCTAAAACAGGAGAAACATTATCTCTCTTTTCAATTTTCTTTACAACTCTTGCTACAGCATTTTGAATCAACTGAAGGATTTTAACTACGGCTTGTTGACTTCCTGACCGTAAAGAATTATAATAGTCAAGCCTTGAAGTAATGGATACATAAATTAGTCCTTTCGTCATCAATCCGGTAGAAGATATTCATATTCTAAAAATGGAGAGTAGGGACCTGTTGGATGAGTTAAAAACAGAAAGGGATTTGTTGTTTCACAGTTTGGATGTGGGAAAATAAGGGTTAAATGTTCAAATGAGTTATAACTATTAACCGGCTTTGGATTAATCAATAAGTCAGACTGAAAGATTGTTGCTGCTCCTCCTAACCCAGATTTTCTAGGCATATGAACATTTGAACACTAACATAATCATCTTGTTGCAGCAAGGTTTCTTTAAGAAAACATAGTTCAATTTGATTGTTTTAGATTAAGTCATTGACTAGAAAACTTTTTTAAGAGAGAGACCTTATGTTAAATAAACCACATATAATTGTTTTAACCTTTTTCCCAAATGGAGTCATTTTGATCTTAACTACATATTAATGATTTACTCCTATCATCTTTTTCTAATTTTCTTTATTTTTTGCCTTTTTCAAAACCTGGTCTGGATGAGGTGATATGTATTAGTAGAAAAGCTGTAAAGGGGTCTGTTAAACTTCATCTCCGCTTTCTGACATGCATCCTGGTCTGTCAGTGTTTACTCTAATTTTACACTAACAACACTAGTTGTAGTGACTTCTGATCAGCGTAACTAGGTGTCATTACTGCCAGCCTAAATAACAGTCTTACTGTATTTAACCTTAGTAAAATTTAATACTCTACTTTTTACCAATTAAATATTTTTCTGTGTAATATTCCCAAGAGGCAGAGGCAGGATCAGTATCATAATTGAGATGACATCAAAGGATTTGTTTTAGATAATAGTGAAAAGTCTATGAAGAGAGGATAAAAGGTTGTTTGCTGAACCACTTGAGCAAAGTCAGGAGAAAAAAAAAAAA